GTTTGTAGGTGTTCAGAATGGTTTGATCCCTATCCAGCTGAATTCCTGAGACCAGACAAAATCCAGGTCTCCTACTCCTCCGCCATCTTGCTCTGCCCTCAGGTACCTTAATTTTAAGCCAAGTGCTTTGATTTCTCCTTTTGGTTATGTACTATGTTAATCATTTATTATGGTCTTCTTATTGGTTAGGTATAATTGTATTTATACCTGTATATCCATATCTTTATATCAGTTATATTTTTAAACCAGAATTTATAAGTTTTGTTTCCTTCGCTATAGGTGGTATAACTATATTGTTGTAGAAATGCAGTATTTGTCATAGGTGGGTGATTTATTATTTATAATATTAAAGGTATTGGTTTCTGATCATTTCCTCACAAGTTTGAAGATGGTTAAACTAAATTTCTCAATTAAATCTAGTAACTCAAATGATAACATTTCACTAGTGTGACATAGAGCTTTTATTTATAAAAAGATGTAAGTGGTATATGCCATACTAATTCAACATATATAAAGTACATTTACCATCACCAAAGTATTTTTGCAATGACAGAAAAACCATATGGTTGAGCTCTAATATTTGTTTTTTGTTTTTTTTTTTTTTTTTGTAGTCTGTAGTCAAAAACATGAATATATAAAGTACTTTTAGGTACTTTCTGAATGGTTACGGGAAAAACTCACAAATAGGTAATGTGATGTATATTTTCAATGTTATTTTTTTCTTCCATACCAAATTAGAATAAGCAGTTAAAATAGAAACATGATCAGTACAAAATATAAAGTTGTAGTTAATATTTTCATATTTTAGTAAATTGTTGGTAAATTTTAGTAAATTTTTAAGAAAACCTATAGATTTGTGTGTGTGTGTTTTAAAGATTTAATTCATTTATTTAAAGATTTAATTTATTTATTTGTCAGAGAGAGTGCGCACACACACAAGCAGGGGGAGTGGCAGGCAGAGGGAGAAGCAGATTCTCTGCTGAGAGGGGAGACCGACGTGGGACTTGATCCCAGAACCTTGGAATCATGACCTGAGCTGAAGGCAGACGCTTAACGACGAAGCCACCCAGGCATTCCAGATTTTATTTATTTATTTTAGAGAGAGAGCATGCTTGTGAGAGCAGGGGGATGGGCAGAGGGAGATGGGGAGAGAGAATCCCAAGCAGACTCTAAGCTGAGCGTGGAGCCTGATACGGGACTGTATCTTACGATCCTGAGATCATGACTGGAGTCGAAACCGAGAATCAGACATTTGACTGAGCCATCTAGGTGCCCCAGTGTACATTTGTGTGTTTTGACTGTCATCTTAATTTTAAAAGTGGATAGTGGCATTTTTAGTGTAAATCTCGTGGACATTTAGCACTAGATAATACCTCTAGTTTTTTTTTTGTTTTGTTTCTATTCTTATGTTAATCCCCATACATTACATCATTAGTTTTAGAT